GTGCAACGTCTTTTATGATATTGGGTTTTGCGCAATCATGGACCTTTGCGAAATGCCTTTTTTATTCATCATTATTTCATTTCATCCTCGATTCTGTGTAGTTCAGAGTTACCATTCTAGATGTTTTGTGATATTAAAATAAAAGGCGTCTCTGATGAGTTATATGTGAATGAATCCAGGGCGTATTGAGCGAGATGCTTGTTCTCGTGCGTGTGATTGCGTCCGTACGGCTAAAAGCATACGTACGTCTCGAATTAGCATAACAACGTCTACGTCACTAGCCAAGATGATATGTTGGTCCGCTATTAATAGAGTGTTGCACACGGCACACTATTTTGGTGAGCTGAGGGCTACCGACTATCATCCACTCTCCTCCTCGACTACGCACGCAGATGCTTTATGACGTCATCGGATCAATAAACACGCATGAGAAGCATACTCGTAGCGCACACTCGCCACAAATATACAACAGGGGCACTCGCAGGGGTCTTCTACTTCTCCTTTTATCTCTCATCAATTTTAAATGTAAGAAGAAAAACAAAAATACAAAACTAGAAATGAGAGAATGCCTTGGAATAAAGGTATTTTTACCAGGTCCCTCGACAGTCATTTACGATAAACAGGGATTCGTATATATATATATCTATAAGATATATTAGTTGACCTATAGAATACAACGAAATGTAAGTTATCAAACCGAAAGTCATCTTTGAAACTTTCTTTTCATTTTTAGGAAAAATTGCTCATGAATTAGCTTCGTGCAAGAGGCGTGAACTTAAGTTGTTTTGCGTCAGAGAGGGTAATACTCTTTTTCGTCAGTAGTGATGTTTTTCAAGATGAACATAAAGTGAATATAGTTGACCTATATAATACAAAAAAGTGTAAGTAATTATCAAACTGAAAGTCATTTTTGAAACTTTCTTTTCATTTTTAAAAGAAATTGCTTACGAACTAACCACGTACAAGAGGCGCGAACCGTAAGTTGTTTTGCATCAGAGAGGGTATAGTCTTTTCCGTCAGTGGTGATGTTCTTTAAGATGTTCATAAAAGTGAATATGTCAAATATAAAAGTTTAAGAAACGAAGCAATATCTTTAAAATGAGTGGAAAGGTGCTGAAAACCCATGGGAAAAGAACACACCCAAATACATGAATTATTAGTTTATGGAGAAAACAACCATTGTTAAATAAAAAACGAGTTCTTTGCAGGCAGTGTCATGTTCTACTTTAAAGTGTCGTGTGTATGTTACTATGGGTCAATCATTATTTAACCTAATGTATAGCAGACGACGGAGAAATGTAATTTTCTACGATATTACATCTAAGTTAAGCTTTAGTACTATACATTTTACTGAGTGTTTAATAACAGCCATGATCATGGATAATTTGTTATCGGTTTCGTATAAGGCCTTGAAATAAAAGATTTGAACATACTAGAAAATCCATCAAGGGAAGATCAACATAATTCCTAAAGGAATGCTACACTCAGTAAAAAAAAATAGAGAGGCAATAAAGTTAAAGGGAATTGTATCAAAAATGCAAACGAAATAAATTAAAACTGATTATCTATTCAGGTAATGAAGAAAGAGCGATTAAACGCAGTATCATGATTATAAAGGTGATGTTAGGGATAGGCTGCATGAACAAAGCTGGATCGCTATAATCAACAAACCAATTAGTCACTATAATTATAAGAAAGTTGCATTCTGACTCATTGGAGCTGAACTATGATGTGATCTAGGGAAAAGTAGCGGCTTCTTATGAAGGATTATGGTATTTCTCTCAAGGAAAGCTCAACTTTGTATGATGACATGATTTAAGAATTTGAGTGAAGTGCAAATCTGGCGACCCTGTTTTCCCCGGAACGTTGTACGAGCTTGGTTTGTTGTTTTGTTTTTGGATGAAAGGAGCAAAAAATGATACCGAAGGCATCATTGTGGCGCTTTTAGGACATGTTAGAAAGGTTCCGGGGCGAGAAATTGATAAGTTCCCTCCGGGAGCTAAAAGGGTAACTGGTCCTTCTATTTTAAGGACCAGTCTGCCGGAGGTTAAAGTGAAGACAACCTGTCCCTACACGATGGGAAAGATATGGGGGCTAACTTTGGAACAAAGCGGAACCTACAAGTTCCACCACGTGACCTCATAGAGTCTCGTGACGTCATGATGCTGTGACTGAGTAATGTAGCATAGACTGGAGGAAGTTTTGATCCAGAGAGTCATGAACTCACATCACTTTATCAACCAATCAGCACCGCTCGTCTCCTTGCGATGGGACACGTAATAGCGAGAGAGAAGGGGGACTATTTTAAAACTTTGTTTTTCTTCCTCCACCTCTCTCTCTCTAGCACTCTCTAGTCCTGGTTCCCTGCTGTATTGTATCAATCTTCTCTCAATGTTGCACTCTCGTTTCAGCGGATAAGAGATAGGACGAGGAAGTAGTTACAGTGATGACGTACTCGGGACTTGCTCTTAACCGCTTCGAGACTTACAAAAACTTCCACTCTGTCTTGCGCGTGATTTCCGACCTCTACCTTACCCCTCTCTCCCCCCGGAACTTTATCAAGTTATAGAGGCGGGGATATACCCGTATATATTTAGCGGGACTTCACATGAACGAGCCTCAATTACTTGGGATTACTTCGGTGCTTAATGCCATCCCATTTGGGGGCGCGAATTTGCTGGACTTAGTTTCGTGATTAATGTTGATGTAAAGCTGTTTTCATGTATTGTCAACGTTCGGATAATGGCTACAATCCACAGTTGGAACTATCATACATGGCATATCTGGCATGGTCAACTGCCCTCGACAATTATGACTGGTATGATCAATGGTCAATCTTCGAAGACCCGTATTACGCAACAGGTGGGGTTTTGACTCTGAGAGTTGCTTCCATCATGGATTGGTATCCAATAACTTAGCTATTTTTTTATTTGTTATTAATTACAACCATTTCTTATTATTTTAGTCGCATTTGCTCTCTTGTGCATGTCCATACGCATATTTTATAATTCAATAACATTGATTCTGCCAGGAGTAGTCATTTCAATCATGCATCATTAGCTTATAATATACAAAACTTATTTTGCATAACTAACTTCAATAATGTCAATTTAAGGGCATGTATTAGAGTCATTAATCGATCTGATATTTTTCCGTTCTTTGAAGAAAGAATGTTCTACGTTAAAATGTATTTTCATTTTACAATTCGTAACAAAAGTATCATCAAGTATCAGAGAAGCCTTTTATGGAACGTTGTATGCAAGATTATGTATTTATTTCTGACTTCCTCTTCCTCCTTTTTTCTTTTCTTGATGATACTATTCTGGGTCTATAGTTTTCAATGTATGAGCTGTAACAGGTTTCCAAAATTATAGAAATTAATATTTATTCTCTAAACTTTCAATCATCCGTACCTTAAACTTGGAAGGCTTTTTTCTTTTCACTGAATCAACATGAATTCTTACTGTTTATACACACCCTTCTGCTAATGTATTATATGCATACTTAGGCAATTCACATTGTTCAATCAAGCAAGCCTTGGAAAACTATAACTCAATTTTCATCATGTGTAGAGCTGACAATTAGTAAAATTAATTATTATTATTGTTAATCGTGGTAGCGTAGTAGAAGAAGTTCCTAGGAGTAGAAGTGGTAGTAATATAATCAACAGTAGTAGTTTCAGCAGGAAAAACATCTGTAGCAGAAGCAGAAACAGATAAACAGCGTTGTTATATCTATAGGTGTATACTTGTGTGTCACTTTTGATCGTTAATTAATAATAGCACAACAGTTACAAATGTGCAAGGTACGCTTTGTATATTGTAAAACTAAGTGTAAAGTGTAGATAATTTTTTAGAATGAGTTTTATAAAAATTCTACAAAGTAGTATACGTAAAATATTGCTAAATATTTCATTATCCGTTTCAATTGGTGAGAAATGAAAACGATAAAATGCGTTCGTGTCAATCATTGATTCAGATCATAACGATACCATCCTGTATATTTATCATTCCATTGCAAATATTGCTTTTACGTGTCATGAAGCTTTTGCATAAAACTAATAAGAGGTGTTGTTACAGGTCAAATACATTATACTCTTTTCCCTTCTTGACAGATTAATACTACAAATACATTTTATGGCTTTGATTTGTTAGAGAGTAAAATTTTAATTCATAATTTAGAGCATTATTTTCGAATACTAATCTAAGAAAAATACACTCATACATATATAATTATACAGTATTCAAGTTCACAATAGGTAGTGTTGATTTTGATTCCGACTATAATTTTCGAGTTACTATCGATAAAAAACGTGTTTTCACATCTATATGTTATCGCTTTCATGATTTGTTTTGATAATCTATATCATTATACACATTATCACTGTAATCAGTATCATTATACATCATCATACATAATACCTGTCATGAGCAAATGTGGGAAACAAATAGGATGAGAAAAATGAATGCGTACCTTCAAAATGATTGTGTTTCTTCTTACAACATTCCTTTTGTAGAAATAACTTTATACAAACTACATGTAAATACATTTATTTATCATTGATTTCTTCATGAACTTACATTCGAATAGTTTATTCCGATTTCAATTATATCAGGTCATTGTTGCATACAATGTACATAGGCCGTATCGTTTTGAATGTACTGCAATGTAATGCTCGCCGGGCTCGCCCCTTCTGCATTTGCACACACCGTGCACGACCTTGTGTATTTGTGTATCCAGAACATGGGAAGAAAGTGAATGCCCGATTCAGCTGTGTGTAGGTCATGGCTGTGTATAGTAAGAGCATTTCTGAATTTACTCCTCGAGTATGAAATCTGTTGTAGATATTGAAGTAGCGAGAGCTGTATGGTGTTTACCGTATTATAGCTTCACCATTGTTACTGTGGTATACCTGTTGTTTTGGATATGTCAGTGTGCTGTTTTAGGATTGTTTATATTTCATTTGCTATTTCTGGTTGGCCATTATTCCCACTGACAGGTGCAGGGTTTAGGGTGTATCTTTTCTCACAGATCATGTTATTTTTGGCGGAGTCTATGAAGAGAGTTGTTTCTTGCACGATCCGTTCATATCGGGACGAACAGACACCCGATTTAGCCACTAATCACATGCTAATGCAATCCAGGCTGCATTTAGCCAGTACGACGTTGAATAATTACTCACATTGCTGCATGGTCGAAAGCAGGCAGTGTGACGTCACACTTCGTCGTTTAGCTCCAATCCCGTCTGGTCGTCGTGCACGGGAGAAGCAATTAGATCTGTGCGCGCTGATTGGCTGGCGGCGATATTAAGGAATGCATGACGACAATTCTCGCTCACGATGACGTCGATCGGGGCGCCTTTCGGGGGGTCTTCGTATTTTTTTCTCGTCAACCACAGCGATGAATTGCCTTCTATACATATACACAGCGATGTATTGATATAGGTCCGGAGTTGCAAGCCGATGAGCTTGGGAGAAGCGTCGTTGTTCGCGAGCCCGTCTCTCAAGGCAGGTTACAAGTGAGCCCCATACCGTTAGCACTGCGATACCATTGTATCAGTCTGTGTTGTCTGGTTCAGAGGGTTCCTTCGTAGCTTTGCCGCGCGGCTCAGTTCGGGAGGAGATTCGAAACCCCCTCTCGCACTTTCTCTCTCTCTCAGGCGGGGCAAGCTGGATTATCCTAGCCAAGCACTGTCCTGTAGTTGGCCGCTGATTTGTCATCAAAATATCGGATCTTGGAAGCGGGCCAGGTTTCGCCCGTATATGGCGAGCTCCATGCACGTGTTACTTCCACCGTTACAACTGAATTTTAGGACATTCTTAAGCAAGTGGTCTGAGGAAGAGTGGGCAACAGTGGACCGAAACGGCACCAGGCGTTCGGGTGAGGCATTCAATTAAAACATCAAATCGGCTTGACTAATTAAATGCACTGATGCCGTGATTGCAACAGTCAAATATTTTGTTAAAGGCATGCGATTTCTAAAGTATACTTATGTATCAGGTTTTCGTGACTCGTCCCTCATATTCCAAAATACCTAGAGTCAACTGTGTGCAACCTGTAAGATGTTTTTGAGCACGTAAAGCTTTTATTTTGTTAACTTGCTACAGGTCGTTTGCTTTTTGCCTGTTTGATGTCTTAGCTTAGTAGGCTATCTAGATTTAATATGCGTTATACCGTTTAGAAATTAAATTATCTTATTCTTGCATGATGTTCTTTTGGAAATCGCAGAATTCATGTATCTTAAGCAGGATTTGTATTTGATTGTTTTCCTAAATTTGGTTTCCTAGTTTTGGAACACCGTCTTCCCTTGCTAAAGTACTCTGATCCAGAGAGAGGTTATAGCGGGGATGATGGCCATTTGTTTACTCTCAGACATCGGTATTCCAAGATTAGATTTTTCGAATTTTTAATATATGTCCACTTTGTGTCAATCTTAGGCAGTCCATGCATGCTCCCGGATCAAAGAAGACCGCATACTCAATAAAAGTACGTCTACTGTAGTAAAGAAGGCAAAGTACGTTCACAGTCGTGGACTCACTTAGCCTCTGCGATGCATTCAACTGTCCCGGTCAAAATGTGTTTCTGCATGCGACCATGCATGCTAAGAATATATTGTGCGCGTGTGTGTGGGTGTGTGTTTTTGTCTATGTGTGTGTGCGTGGAAAGGTGGGTGAGGGGCTGTGTTTGTATGTTGATGTACATGATGCTTATCAGCACCGAGGCCAATATATGGAAGTTGTATCGAGGATAGATTGGATCAGGGATTCCTACAGTGTGTAGGCGGGTATCTTTGGGAGATTTAACGTTGTGCTCGTGTATGTTGTTCCTTCATCAATAGCTCAAACTTAGCGATGGAAATGATGAACATAGCGATTAATTCATGTGAGACGACAGGATTTATATACCAAGAGATAACTGACTGTGAAATGGAAACTATAAATTTAGTAAAGAGAGAGAGTGTTCAGAGATGCTACTTCTCTTCATGGAGTTGAATTGAATAAATCGTCCACATGACTTGTGTGGGAGTCACTATCTCGTAACTTCAAAATCTGGAGCGCAGGAATGAGAGATACACTTCTATCTGTCTTTTATCACTGATGCATGGTGGATACATTGAGCATCCTTTTCTAAAAATTGTTCTCTTCGAAGTGGGATGATTACACCGATACGTCAGGACTTCTTCGTCCAGACACAAGTTGCGATTCCTCCTGGCCTTGCCGCTGATGGTGGATGTTTACAACTTGGAAATGGAATATGGTCCACGAAGATTTAAGGGCCACCAAGAATCTAACCCTCAAGGAATATGTTTTTATCTCTTTCATGTACAACCAGATGACAAACCAGGAAAGCCCAGATAACAGGTATTTTGCGCGAAGATATTTTCCTCCTTTGTGCATTGATACAGGAAATGATAAAGGGATTAACTCTGATGATTTATTACTTTAAGTTTAAGCATTCTTACCTCTGTCAATTTGTTTGTTTCTATCCTTCGATGACAAGTGGATCAGTTGCGCATTATTCATCAGGATAAATAGCTTCGTCGAGTCACCTTGGATAATTTGTCACGAAATGGATAATTTGTCACGAAATGACTCGATTCTCTTTCTTCAAGGATGTACGTACAGCATGCTCTACCACATGCACAAACGGTGTAGGTATGTCTAATCTTGTCGAAACGTGGGTGCCTGGTAATACATTGAAGGTATTTCCCAGCTGTTTCGGGGTACCTGCTCCGATCATTACCTACTCAATTACTGAAACATATTGCCGACACTACCAAGCTAGTCTCGCAACCGGTGTGTGACATAATTAATCTTCCTTATCCTATACTCTAGCAATAGAAAAAAAAATCAATTATAACCTTTGAAACGGAGATCTATCTAGAAATATTACTTTCTTAATCAATTAACAAGCAAAATGTATTGCATTGAATGATATTTGTTTTACCGATACATTCGTTGGATAATGAACGTAGATCTGGGTAGTATTTACAGTACTTTATTGTCTATGTAATATTCTCTATAGTAAAAATCACAAGTAGCATATAAAACAGGGAATGACTTGGATCCATTTTACTGCATTTGCCATACTCATCAAAATTTCTTACTGGCGACGTAAAATATAAACAACTAGACTAAAAACCAGCAAATAAATAAATCTTGGCCTGTATTTCCATTACAAGTCATTAAAATGTAAAACTTTATCTTTTTGGTTTGAGAGGTTTGGAATTTCAGGAACTGATCATTTATCACATCTGATACGACTTAGCTTGAGGCCGTTCATACCATCAATATTTTAATACAAATAAATATGTTTATTTATTTATTTCTGCATGGTTCATCAAATTACAGAGTATGGTCAACAATGAGAGTAAACAAACAATAGCGGTTTAAAAAAGGGAAATTTACAATTGTTTTTAAGTATGGGCATCAACTTAATCGTCAATCTCCGTTATGGATTCCTTCCTGTATACGTGTAGTCTCAAAAACAGATCTTTAGTGAGAAATACCGGTTACATTCATGTATTTTGGCAGATAATTTTCAAAGTCATCATAATTAGGCCAAGTCAAAAGTTCCATATCATGGAAATGAGAGTCATGTTGGTCTCGTGTGCCTTCGATGAACTGGGTTGTCAGTGACTGCAACAAATTCGTAAAAACAGTTAATTAATTGGGCTCGAGTAATTGCCAACCCTTAATTGCAACTTGTAAGGTTTCTTCTTTAAATGGAGCTGATTACTGACACAATTCTATGTCAATGCGGAGATGAAAAGAGAAGAGGAAAATATGACTACTGTGCTCATATTTCACTAAATTTACTATTGGATCTGTTTAAACATTTCAAGAAAGTTGTTTTTAAAATCTCAAAAGTCAATTTCAATCAGATCTAGCTTGATGTGTTTTCAAGAAGCAAGGGGCATTATATTGATCCTATAAACTGTTACATTTACCCATGTATATACATTAATTTACACTTTGGTCTTCTCTGTACTATACTTGAAAGGGATAGGCTTTATAATTGGTTTCCACTATCTCCATAATCTTTCTGTAATCATTATCATTTGAAGATAGGTTTTTAAAGAAGCTAAACAAAAGAGAAAACATACAAAATATCAGTTTTGTTTTCGTTTTATGGCAATTAATTTACTGCATTTTGAGTCTTTCTTTTTTCCCTTTATATGGCTTTCATCATACAAAATGAATGTGCGAGTTAAAAACAAAATAAAATATAATTATTTTTTTTAAGAACAATGTATTTAAAGCTAAATGTTTGGATGAGTTTTATCATTAGGAGACTGATATATTTGTTTCATTTATGTGAAAGCAAATCTTGTTTCATATCGATCATTCTGCAATACAGTTGTAAAAAGAAATCATATAGTACTACGTTCCTGTTATTTGATATTAACTAACTCGCATCCAGAAGTCCAGTTCAATGCACCTAGTAAAAATTTAACGTTCTCCAAACTACAAACACAAGGAAATATATCGCGTCACGGTATATTGGCCTTTAGACATCCGTTAATCTCTATCACACTATCGCCCCCGTGTTATTATCAACTTGATTTAATGAATTCTTGACTGGGAATCCATACAACATTTTACAGTTATATCAACAGAATGATATCCACGATATGTCTCTGTGAGAAACTGGTTGTTGACTTCTATATAAAGGCCACCCAAGGAAAACTTTTCTCACATTTCGTTTCAACTCCCATCAGTTTGTGGACGCCTCAAAAAGTCTACTCGTTGCCTTTAGGACTTAGTCAGTTGGTCAAATGGTTGCCGTGAATTGATCGAATGGTTGCCGTGAATTGGTAATGTTATATTTGATTTGATTTTTGGATTTGTTTTTCATTTCGGAAGATCCGTTGCTATTATTTATGTTTGTTATGTTATTTATTCTATGTATTTTGGTTGGAATATATTGGACCTTAAAGTCTGAATTTCCATTCTGCACAGGGAATAGGAAGACGCGATACCTCTTTGTAATATAGTTATGTTAAGTTATAACTTAATCATATAGTAAACGAGAGAACAACTTAGGCTCACTTTGCATGCTGTTACTGTTACCTGAAAATATTATGCTTAGTAGTAATACAAATTGCACTTCTGAATTGGAGAGTTAGCGAATATCATCCTGATGATTTCACAGGGAAAATATATCTCAATATAATAAGTTTTAAAATTGAACTTTAGAATAGTGGAAATGAGGGACATATCGCTATACTTAAATTAAACAAATATTCATTGTCTCGTCTACGAACAGTTGTCCTTAGATTGATCCTTTTTTTTGTATTGATTCTTAAAATTTGTCTCAATTTATACTAACTCATATTATGTTGTATGATAAAACCATACAAGCACAGACATGATAACAACAAGGAAGATATATTATTGATACTTTGTGTGTTTTCCTTTCTTATTTAGCCGTGTAAGGGCAAGAAAATGAACATTAATGTATCAAAATGAATTGGTTTTTCTTTTCGTTGTTGACCAACGAGCGAAGAAGATATCCGTAGACTGAATGAGTAATAATGAATATAAACAAGAGGATTTTGATGGTTTTATAGATTAACATAGAATATATCCGTGTTTAATTCGCACTCAGCACATTCTCTAACTGTAGACAGGAGGCTTGTGCGTTACTCCTTTTCAAAGACCGCGACTTCTTACAATATTCCCTCATTTATTTATATACCATTTAAAAGATTATGTGATTTAATATATATAGAATAGCAAGTTTAATACCAAGTTATAATTTTGGTCAGTGAACATTGTTCATAGCGTGCCTTTCTTCTCCGAATCCAATATTGAATTAAAATTCAGACAGAGAAAGGGAGCTGTTTTGCTTTATTGTTGTAATTCACAGAATATTCT